TGATCATATCTAGTTTAAATTTGAATGATCAAATTTATTTCTTTTCTTGGATGTCTTCATACGTTAAATTAAAATGCTAACAAAGGTCAAGTTGTCGAGTCTTGATGTAATGAATGAGAATGCTAGCATATGGTTAGAGTACCTTCACATAATCTACAAGATGCCATTTTAATTAGTGCATGGCATAAATTTTACACCCTAGTGTGATACATGGGACTAGACTTAATTGTAGAGCAAATTAAATCTTCCACCAATGTGTTCCAATAGAATGAAAAAGGGTAGTATAACTTTAAATAGAGGTGTTTATTGAGGAAAAAAAATGGGCTCCACAACCTGACCTTCAAAGAAAGGAATGTTTTGGATTAAAGGGATTTGACGAGAAACAAAGGGATAGGGATTTCATTAAAGGGTAAATTAATTATACAAGTCTTATTAGCATTGAGGATTAGTTCCTGACAGACATCATTGATATGCCCAAAGTGTAAGATATTATTTTGTAATTGGCAATTATCGGAAACAAAACAAGTCCTTGTCGAGTTGTAATTCAAAGTTATAACTATATCAGGATCGACAGTGACTGCGGAATGGAAAGGTTGTTCAAAGTTACCATAATTGAGATCATTTGAAATAAGGTAAGAACAACACATTAGGAAGGATTATAAACAGGTTAGAACACATTATACACTTTCCATATTTTTTAGAACTTACCGTAGAGTGTTTTTAGGCTGAATGAACCAATGATTTCAAGTCTGCCAAACTTGAACCGGTTCAGCCCCTCTGAACCAGTTCAAGATGCTTAAGATTGGCTTCGAAAAACTTCTGCCAATCTTGAACCGGTTCAGCCCCTCTGAACTAGTTCAAGTAGTCCTGATTAGTTTCCAACTTTCAATTTTCTGTTTCAGAATTGTTTCCTAGTTGGTCTAGAATTGTATCAAGTCCTATGCACGAATTTTTGTATATTTTCAGAGGGATTAGGACATTCTAAACTCTGTATAAACGTTGTCATACACATAGGTTAATGGACGGCTTTTGCATTATTAATTTATTATTCTTAAAAGCCTTAGAAAGATTTTTGTTTCAGAAAATCTTAGAGATTTTTCTGTTTGTCTTTCTAGAACACACACATATTCACATGGTGATTTTAGGGTTGTGTTGTTCGAATCCTAATCGTGATCATATAGTTGCATCTACATCGATCAGACAAAAGCGGATCTACTTTTACATCGAATTCAGAAGTTGAAGAACAGAAATAAAAGCGATCACACTTTAAAAGGGTTGGAACATTCGAGGAGTGTTGTTTGATCTACCCGTTACTCTTCTACAAAGATCAAGCATAAGCCTGAGGTCAAGTTGTTGTTGAACGGGTAGTCGCAGAGTTAAATGATTGTCTGTAATTAGTGTTTGGTAAAACGATAGGATATGAACCAGAGTCAAATTTCAATGTATTTTGTTTCAAGTATAGTGGATTGGTTTACTTTGGACTACACAATCCACGAGGTTTTTCCCACGCAAACAATTGACTTATTTTATTAACTCGGATTTCCTTGCTAAAAATTTTGGTGTCACCTCTAACTTTTTCTTTGCTTTATTTTATTGTATGATATTAATTTATCGATTGCTAAAATAAAGAAAGTTAAAAAAACACAAAATGTGTTTTTAAAAATAATCAAAACTTTCTAAAATATTCCACTACGTATAACTCACACAAAGTTTATAGTACTTGTACCCTAAGCAACTGACAAATATGAAAACTCTAAATTTACTCTAGATATATGAGAAAAGAGTTTTTATGTACCCACTAATAAATATTACATTTTGGTTTGTTAACTCAATAAAAATGCACAAAAACATCACTTTATTAAGATTTTTCATTTTTAATGACAGATGTAACTCTATATATATATTTATGTATGTATAATAGTGATCATTCATATCCTATCTACCCAAGGGACATTAAAAGGGTATTTTACAAAAAGACTAACACACATTTCCTCCCTTTTCCTCTGTTTCCTAAGCAAGCAAACAGAGAATAAAGATGCTATGAATTGTCTTCCTTTATTCTCATTGACTCAAGAAATTCCCTTCATTGAGAGCAATAAAGATTATAACATGCGGTAGGGTTGCATTTTATCTATCTTTCCTTGTAGGCAGTTCCAGGTATATATTGAACAAGAGACGTAAAATCCGCCAATATATACATACCTCAAAAAACTCTAAAAATAAGACCCACCATTAGTAAAAAAGGAAGAATTGTTTGTTGGCATTAATCGGAAAAGAAAGAAAGATAGGGCATATATGGAGACAAAGTTTCCACACCTTGAGCTTTTGCAGACTTTAAGAAAAGGCGGAGGGCTAACAAATGCCTCTCTTTTTTAAGGGGTCACCATCCATCTACTATATACCCGTTAATTCCTCTTTTCTTTCTCATATATATTTATATATATATAGGACTCAATTTTTGCATGAAAGTAAGCAAAATATCGGATCCTATATATATTATATATATATATATATATATATAAAGTCCTTAACTTCTATTCAACCCATATTTCAACAACTGTCTCTTTCTTTCTTTTCTCTCTCATATATAACTGAATTGCTGCAGCATGCAGCACATGAAGTACTCTAGCTCTCCTTGGATCCCTCAATCATCACTTTCAAATCATAAATCCATAAAAGCAACACCAGCCAGAAGATTCATTCATTCATTATACATCTATATATATGTATATATGTATAGACATACATACATATATATATATATATATATAGAAAGAGAGAGAGAGGGTCCATTAATATCGAGTTCTGGTAAAGGACTGGTCAAAAAAGAAGGCAGAACACGCGAATAAACAATAAAAGAATGTAGGTGATGATTAGATTTTGGAGATGATGATGCTTTTGATGATTGTTGGGTCGTTTTCTTAAAGCATTTTGTGTGTGTGTGTGTTTTTTGAGATAGAGCTTTTTGTGGCAGTAAGGTTTCTTGCTTTGAACACTGAACAGGTATAGAACCAAAGTTCACCGAAGTACCCGAGTCATTTGGAAATTATTAGGAGTTCCATATATTTCAAGTACCTAACAAAAGGAGGGCCATAAATATCAAAACTCCTCATTTCAATTATCGATACACACACATATGTATATACATATATAATTAGATTAGAGGACTGCGTGCGTATATGTTACGTTGACCACCATGTTTAAATCGATCAAGCTTTTGTTTAAGCGGAAGCTTATATGTGTCATTGGTTTTAATTCAGGTCAACTAAATTGTATTAATTCTCTCTCACATATATATTTTATTTATATTTGTAATTATATATATATATATATATATATATATATATATATAGGTATTAAACCAATCTAATATTGATTCTAAAAAGGCACACTAGCTATACCATTAAAATGTAGGATAATTAGCATACATACATGGCAGTGTTGATCAAATTAAGAGCCTCTGACCAATGGCATAAGCTTTCCATCCGTCTTGGATGGACAAAGTGTTATTACTAATTTAAATTTGTAAATATACTTAAGTAATGTTTGGTAATAATGGACGTAAAAGCCTAACCATCGATCATTACTCTCTCATCTTTCCAAAGTATTCTTCTCAAATCTTTATTCCCATAAGGTAGTTAAAACGGGCTAGGCACAAAGCCTTAGAAGCCCAAATGAACCTTCTGGCCCAATAAACAGTTCAGTTGGAAGGCCAAGGCCCACTAAAAGTGATAGGCTACCTTGTGTCTTAGAAAAGGTGGGCCTAAAAAATTTACCCTACTCCATGACCAGATCATAATCCCATAGTGTAGAAAGTTTGGTATGGACATGATGATGATGATGTTGGCCAATAAGTCTCTTTCTCTGACTTCACCAAACCCATTTGCTTAATTTCAAATGCCAATTAAAGTCATTGTAAGTGTACAAAACAAGCAAGTTCGCAGAGGCCCGTTGCCATAGGAATATGTCAAACATTGATTGCGCCATTTATTTATTTATTCTCTTTTTTTCCGTGTTTAATACGGAGTAACTCTCATACACACACACATATATGTGGAGGCCAATAATTTCAATAGTTTATTAAATGCCGAAAAGATTATTAACTACGGAGTATATATAGTCCTTTCAGTAATAGTTAATTCTTTTTTACAATATATGTATTTTATTTATATTAATTAATTAGCCAGTGATATGTCTAGCAAATGTTAGAAGTCCATTTAAAAATTTATTTTCGCAGAAAGAGACCAGGAGGCATTGGGAGTGTTGTTGCATTACTCCCCCTGTCCCAATTTTTTTTTTTGTTTTCTTGTTTTTTTACAAGGCTTATCTATTCATCGGTGAGTAGATTATTTTCGTTCATAATTACAAAATATGAAAAATAAAGAAATAAAGAAATTAGATAAAGTGACTAAATTTATTCTAAAAAAAATTATTATCCTTATTTATTATTTTTTATTTGATAATTGGACCACATCAACCGTAAGTAGACCAAGTCTTGTTTTTTTTGGAAAACAGAAAGGAGTAATCGACACAGAAGCAGATGTGATCAAGTGAGTATGCTAAATGCAAAAATTTTATTCCTTTTTAATTGACAAATTTGGCAGGTGTATTTACTCCTATTTATTTATTGGTATGACAGCATTTTTTTCTCTTCTTTTTAGTTAATTAAAAAAAGAATTCTGAAGACGGACCCCTCGTTTAAGGGTCAGTTCAGTTGGATTGCGCAACCATGTGAGTCTATGACTTTTAAAGTCAACATTATAACATTCACCAACCAAATATATATGGATCTAGAGCCTTATCATATACAAGTACGTGGAAAATAGAACATCTAGAATGCAACAATTAATTTCGATATTTTCTAATTGTACGTATGCTCTCCGAGCAATGGTTGGTGTTTTGTGTGTTGCCATGTTACTTGTGTAAACTTAATTTTCATTTTGATTCTAGGTCATATATGACAGAGAGAAGACACAAAATAATACTAATAAATAACAAAATGAATGCGAACTAAATTCTTTATTTATTTACCACAACGAGTGACGTTTCGAATGAAACAACGGTCATAAAATAATAATAATAATATATAAATATCAAAATACCCAAAAGAAAAAAAATAAAAAATAAAAACCAGAAAAATCCATGGATCATGGAAACGGAAATGGAAATGGAAATGGAAGGGATCCGTGAACTACCAATCGAAGTCACACTTGGTAGTCTGAAAAGTAGCAGCAGAAAGCAATGGAACCTTCAAATCACATTTAATCTTGGGCTTAAACTTGGGAGTTTTGAAGACGCCAAACTTCAACCTAATCCTCAGATACAACTTCACATCAATATTATATATCCCCGAACTCGTCTGCGAATTATACTTAGAAAGCTCAGAATCTCCCAGCACCACCATAGTCTGTCCTTGAAACGCAGTATTCAAATTGTTCGTCTTCTTGTGACCCTGATAAAACCTGCTCAACTCCTCCGTACCAAACCGTTGATCCTCAAAATAAGCCCTCGCCTCGATTCGGTCATAGTAGATGCCGATCCGCTTGTTTGGGTTTCTGACTGTCATGTTGAGGGAGAGGTTGTAGTATAGGGTGTTGGCGGTGGTTGAGTGGTTGAACTGGGTCAGAGTGGCGTCTGTCACATGGAACTTCACCTCGTTGGGGCGGAATATGAGCCAGACGATGAAGATGGTGACGCCGATGATGAGCACGATTGTGCACAGGATTTGGAATATGAGGCTGCACAGGCAGCTACACAGGCAGCTGCAGATGCCGCAGCCAGGGCCGCCGCGGCCGGGGCGGTGGTAGGTCTTGGTGGGTGGTGGGATAGAGGGCCCGTAGTAGGCTCCGTTCAAGTGGGGTTGCTTCGAATCGGGCATGGCTGATCTATAGATCGAGAGAGGAAGATAGATGTAGGTTAGATGATTGGTGTTGTAGGAGGAGGTGAATGTATATATAGAGAGTACTGAATTGGGACACTAATGTTGAATTGGTATGGAGAGAGAAATAAATAATAATAGGACACGGTTTTTCCTTCCTTCCACATATGGTGTGATAATAAAGCGAATAGGACACGGAACGGCTGTGGCCGTGTCATTGGTGTACACATTTAAAATCAACGCGGTTGCTTTGTGTTTTTTGTGTGTAGAAGAGGATGCTGCCTGGCAACTTCTATAGTCAATGCCTAGCTAGCGTCTTTCTTCATACGCCCAGATATATATATATATATATATATATATATATATATATATATTATAGACTGGATCAATCCACTTGCTCAACGTGTAAAAAGTCTTTTTATAAAAAGTCAATAAAAGAGAGACAGAATGAATTCGTAAGAGTCGTAAATACAGCGTCACAAGTCGAACAGACTATTGCTCTGTTTGGAATCACAATTACTTTTGTCTTTTTATTCGTTTATGCTAAAGTCTGTTTGGTAACGAATACTAATTATAAATTCTTCTTATTCGTTTTTTCTTGCCAAATTAGGAGGAACTCGAATATAAGAACAGAATTAAAGGTTCAACCAATTAGACTAATGAGTAATGCCCTAATAGATTATAGAATAAATTGTACACACACTCTCAAGTTTTGATCACCTTCACTCCGTGATTATCAATAACTTTTTGACATTAACATCTCTTGAGATTTCAAAAATGTGCATTGACACTTTCTCCAAAATTCTGAAATTAAATAAAATTACTTTTTAACCATTTGACTTATCAATAACACATTTAAATAATGAAATTACAAATTTAGTCTCCTAACTTAATTTAATCGACAAAACTAACTTCTTCATCTCTTCTATAAAAAATGATAGGGAGACCGATGAATTAACCCGAATAAATATGGAATCTAATGTATTTTTATCCACCTCATCTACTTAAACAGTTTCCAAAAATAATTATTTAACACCTGATAAGAATTACCAACCACGTCAAATTCAATACTAATTCGATGATTCCTTTTCGGTTCCCCTACCATTACTCCTCTTGTATACATATAAATGAGTAGTGATACATCTACCGAATCTAATCACTGAAAAAAATCACCGAATCTAAATTTATAAGCCACTGTTCGAAATACAACTGTTTTTGTTGTATTGAATTTGTGCCATGAATTTTTGTCTCTCCAGTGCAATCTCTGTAAATCTAAGGAATAAAAGTTTGCTCTTAAGTGGAGGTAGCAGACATTGGCAAGGCTATAAGTCATCTCAACCACATAAGCATTCAACTAAAACTTTGATCCGAATTAGAAGAATTATGCACCTCTAACTCTTTACTAATATATTTCTTGGGTCAAAAAAAAAAAAAAAAACAAGGTATAATCACCGGCCGAAGTGCCATTGCCTGCAACATCTTTGCTTCACGATGAATGTCATACATATTTTTGGAGACCTAAAACCACATACATATTTACATAATTGGAACCAAAAAACAAAAACACTGTAACAGATTCTAAGCGGATGTTAAAATACTTTTATCAATAGAAGTTGTTGAATGACACCGTATAAACCGTCCTTGTTTCCTTGATATTTAGCTTGTAAATTCCTTCATCAATACAAATTTAGACATTATCTTCTTCAACTTGTTTTCTCTTGTTCTATCTACTTAGGCATACATTCTGTTCCAAATTTTTTTTTTTTTAAATTTATTTATTAGCTTCTCATCCAACTCTAAATTAAGCATATGTTCCAAGGCAAGACATGTTTCCATAAAACATATATCATCTGCAAAACCTTCAAAGATTTGCTCACCAGTTACCAAAATTCTTTCTTCTTCCTCGCCTAGATATTTAGGAGACAATTAGCTGCTTGTATCCATTGTTTGATTTTAAGCACCAATTCTTTCTTCTTCTTTTTTTTCTTTAAAAAAAAAAAAAAACACTTTTTTAACAACTCAATGCCAAGCCGTTGAAAATTGTGTCAATGAAAGACTTCCAAATACCTACAGGAATCGGATAGAGAGGAAGAATAATCGATGAATGAAAGGAAATTTAGACAAGAGAGCATCCCTAACAAAGCGCCAAAAATTTTTAGTCTCCTACTTGAACGAGTTAATGAATTACTTGGTTTTGCCATGTAGGATTCGACTATTATTTCGGCTGTTTGGTTCGGTAATGTATCATTATTCCATATAAATATGGTTTATGTATAATAATATTTATACCACCAGCACAACATAAAAATTCAAATTAAAATTAATTATTATTTTTTAAATAGTTAGATAAATGTACACCACCATAACCACCACCATAATATAAAAATAAAAAATAAACAAAAAAATTAATATATATTTTTTAAAATAGTCATATAACTGTACACCGCCATAACAATCACTGCAACATATAAAAAAATATAATAATAAATTAATTAATTAAAATAAATTTTTTAAAATAGTCAGAGATAACTGTACACCACTATAACCATCACCACAAATAAAAATTAAAAATCAAAATATTTATTTTTTGAAATAGTCAGATAACTGTACACCACCATAATTACCACCACCACACCCAAACACCACATTGGAAATTTTTTTTTTTTTTAAAACAATCATGGTCAACCCATACTTATATGTGCCAAATGCCACCAGAACCAACACCACCACCACTATCACACCAAAACAACACCACCAGCACACTCAGACTCTACCAGAACCACCACCACAATAGAAAATAAAAATAAATTTTTTAAAACAAACACCTTGATAACCTAGGCACCACCACAACCACCACCAGAGTAGGAAAAAAAAAATTAAAAACGGCATAGCCAGTCTAGACCCACCACAACAAGGAGAAAAAAAAAAGTAAGCAGACAAGTCCGAGATTGGGAAAAGGGAGAGGGAATGTCGGCAGTTAGGTACTAAAATGAACCAAAATAATAATAATAATAATAATAAATATTGGGGCAAAGAAAGAAGTTTAATGATGAGGGTAGTTTTATCGATTAACATGACTGATATTTTGTAAATGAGAAAATTACAAAACATCAAATCTTTTGATAGTCTGGATTTTCTTAATCACCTTAGCAAAGGAGTATAAATTAATTGAATTAAATAACCAGTACCAAATATGACATTAGAAACTACAGGAGTATCATTGTTTAAAAAAACTCTTGTAAGTGATATTGACAAAAATCTCAAAAAGTGTCAATACAATTTATCATTAGATTATAAATTACTCGCTTTTAGAATAAGGTGCAAAACTAAATTAAAAGACATTTTCAGACATGTGAAGGATTGTTAATAGGGAAAATTACATATAAATGGAGTCAAAGTTCCATATTTACTTAGAAGCTGGGTCAAAGTTCCATATTTCTCTAAAATGAATTGCTGAGGTGGCACATGGTTTTTTACTGTTTAGAAAATTGTGGTGCCTAAAATGCCATTCCCTAACAAAAAAGTAGTACCTTCAGTGCAAAAAAGTAGTACCTTCAGTTCAAAAAAGTAGTACCTTCGGAGAAAAAGTAGTACCTTCGTGGGTGTTTAAAAAACATGGTACCTGGACGCCAAAAAGTAGTACCTTCAGTTCAAAAAAGTAGTACCTTCGAAGAAAAAGTAGTATCTTCGCGGAAGGGTATTTTAGGCACCACAATTTCTAAACGGTAAAAAACCATGTGCCACCTCAGCAATCCATTTTAGAGAAATATGGAACTTTGACTCAGCCTCTAAGTAAATATGAAACTTTGACTCCATTTATATGTAATTTTCCCTTGTTAATAACCAATTGTCCATCCACACACATTACTGAAAAGGAGGAATTGTGTATATATATATATATATATATATATATAGGGTATAACCGTATACGTAGCAGTGGTGGTGTGGTTAAAATTTATGATTTATTATTATGGTTATAAAGCTAATCTAAGACTAAGAGGACTGCTTCCAAAAGTCGTCGTGTCTAGGGCGACCGGATGATTTTAAAATATGAAAATATATATGGATTCACAGGGCCTGTTTGATACAACAATTAGGCAAGAGTTGAATTAGTTGTGTACGTGTCGTGTCCTTCATGAAACGTGTGTGAGTTTTGTATTTTTCTCCACCAACCGGAAGAAGGTGTTGAAGTGAGGTTCGACTTTTTCAATCCAATCAAAAAGAATTAATGGAAGACCCTCTCTCTAAACCACATTTTGGTCTTGGTACCTTTCAGAGACAATTTTGGTGTTGGGCCTGGTGCGGCCTTACTTCATGGTGGTTTTGGGTCCAAATTTCAATCAACAACAATTATTCTTTCAACTGTTCCGTTTGGGTTCGGAACTTTGTGCATATCTACCAACCAGTTAAATATGTGCGTATAAGACCAAATTGGACTCGCTTGTTATGATTTTTGCAACTAATATTTGTGATATACTATTATTTTGTTGCTGTATATGAGGATGATGATGAAGACATTTAGTTGGACCTCATAATCCAAATCGTTTAGCCACTCCACGCCTGCAAGAAGTAGATTTTTTTTTAACGGCATCACAATTATTAATTAATACAAGGTTTCAACTGATTTAAGTAATATTTTTCTGATTTAAGTAATATTTTTCGTGATTTGTAAGAAACTGTGATACACGGGGAGTTTATAATTGTAGCATGCGTACAAAATCTACCTGGTTAACCAAAAAAAGAAGAAAGGAAACTAGATTGAAGTAATTAATTAAAAGGTCAATTTCACATTTTCTCATGGTTTGCAATAATTATAGGGATTTCTTCTATAATTTCATAAATTATTCGAACAAAAAATGAAATTAACCCCTACAAACCTCTACACAAACCTCCGCCACCTGTCCTTGTGGTGGCTACACTCTTTCTCAGTGTATTGTCGTATAAATTAAAACGAAAAATGAAATTGAAGAATGAAGTTCATGTGACAATATATACATAGTCGTGTATTTAACTCAAAAATTAAAGACAAAAAATGAAGAATGAAGGAAGAAGTGAAGAGTAGAAGAAAAGAAGGAATACATATGCAATTGAAAGTTATCAAAACCAATAAATGGTAGGGATAAGAGTATTATGGGCATTTTATTTCATTTAGAACATGACATAATCACAATTTGTCATTAACGTTGACTCTAACATAAGGGAGATCCATGTAAGTTAGTTTTAGTTTTATGAAAGGTCAGAATAATTTATGAAACTATAAAGGAGGTCCGTGTAATAGGTCTTGTTAAAAGTTATAACTATTTTATAAAAAGTAAATCAACAATAATATAAAATTGTTAATCTCTCTCTAAAATGGGTTTGACGATCTCAATGTGATCGATATATTACATGAACTAACAACACTCGTGTGGGTGCAAAATTTTGCAGACGAAGACTAGTCAACTGCAATTACTATACCCAAAATAATAATGAAGAATTAGAAAAATTGTATAGAAATAAGTGGGGTATTTTCATGATATGACCGAACTTATAATTATCTAAATTGCCTAGGCATCTTGCTTCGAGGAACATGTGAGAATCGGGTTCTGACAAGGAGAATTGTTCTATCCCTTTTTTCCTCCCCCCACTAGGGTCTTCAGCCCCGCCTTTGTATACAAGAAAAACCTTAATTGAGTCATTCTCAAACTTTTTCTTCTCATTCAAGTATTTCTTTACTTTTCTATCTCTTTCCTCATCTTAGTGAATCCTTCATTTCCTAGGAAAAGATTTTCTTATGGGACCGGGTTAAACCCACGTTGCAGGACGAAATGGCCCATTGCCTTAGCACGGGTCAAACTTACAATTCATATTTGGGTTTTAAACCTAGACACGTATTGATTTATTATTGATACTTCATTACACACGTGTCATATTTCGATTGGTGATATTTTTTTTGCCCTCACAACAGGGTACATAGCTCATGCATAAGGTGTTGGTATTTGTGCCAAAGGCTCAAAGGATACGTATAATAATGTTTTCTTGCGGTCCGGTCCCTCAACAATAGTCGACCTGTTAATTCCATGCAGTTTGATCTAACTGAATAGTTCCAAATAGTCATGAATTTATTGTGATACACCAACATGACACTATTCATCCAATTTTTCTTTCTTATTTTCCCTACCAATCGAACCCCATTTACATATGATGATCATGTGGGTGAACCCCATTACCCTCCCAAACAAGTGATACATATGTAAAATTAAACAAATCTGGTGATCCAATAGTCTGTTGCCTACTATATTAATATATAGCATGTGTTGTATATAGACAAGATTTGATTATGGAAGATGAGGACCATTGATTTTAATTTCTAGACAATTCTGAATCACTTAGTAAGTAATTAGGAGATGATTATATATTCTAGGTGGAGACCCGGGGTGGGGGTTGAAAAGAAACACCACAAAAGCATGTGTGACACATGAACCCCACCCTAAGCCTCTCACGCTTTGTCTACTATGATGTGTTACTTCAGAAATTGAGACACAAACCAAAATGAATCACCCTAGCTAATGGGTCGCGCACCCAAATAAAGAAAGAAAATTATACATCTTCTTATATATATATTTGTATATACTACATATATGCATATGTGAAATACGTATGTATAGATTACTCCATAACACTTTAGAGCCTGACAGAAAGAAGGGGTACATGTAATGTAAAAGGGCTACCCAACCAGAAGAAATTAAGGAAGCCGCACAATAACAACACATGTAAGTCCCTAGCTAGCTAGGCCGGTAGATCCACCAAACTCAAAATTAATAGTAGCACACAGAATCAACTACTGTAATTAATTAGAAATAACCGCAAATATATACTATATTTCAACTTTGGCCGTCTTGTTTATTCAAATTATCTCGATCCAAAATTCAATTTAAAATTCTGATCGAATTAAAACCAGGCCCATATATCGATCCCTTAATATTGAAAATATATTTTCATATAGTGTATAAAATGAAAAAACATTTATGTATGTAAACTTTTCTCATTGGAAAATAAAAGGAAGTGACACCACAACATCCACAAACCCAATTAAGACTTCTCTATTCAAAAGCAATTAATAAATATTTTATTAATTGCACAATATTTTTTGTATCATATAATTAGAATCATACACCTAGCTGAATTGTTAAAATTGCTATTCTGTGTCGATCATTAATGGTCTCTTTTCCTTTTTATTCAACACTAGCCAGATGTACGATACTGTAAGACCACAAAAACTAAAAATAATTAAGAAAACCAGCTTATACATAGAGAGAGAGAGAGAGAGAGAGAGAGAGAGAGAGAGAGAAAAAGAAGAAAGAAAAAAGAAAAAGAAAAGAAGCAGCCATACTTAATTAAGCTGCGGATCACACATTCACCCTGCACCTCTGGGTGAGCTGGTACTTAATGGCGTTACCGATGACTACTCCGGTAGTCCGGGGGCCAGCGAAGGGAATATAGGTGGGACACCTAACGTGTAGATGATAGCGGCCAGAAGTGAAGGTTCCAACTTTCCACCGGACCCTTCCATCGATCTTGATGGTCAACGATACGGCCCCGGCAGCAGCATCGGAGGTCAAAGAGATGCCGTTATAGGGAGCCACCGGAACGTTGTTGCCGAAAATAAAAGGCGACCAAACGTTAACATCTTTGTGGCCTTGGTAAGTGGGTGGTATGGAAGTGTAGTATGTGATTTGTTGGCTACGATATGTGGCGTACACATGGAGTCTATCGTAGTATATGCCAATTTTGTCGTTAGGATTTCGGGAGGAGATGGTGACTTGGAAGTTGGTGGTGAGGAAGGTGTTGGACGAGACGTTGAAGGCGTAGACAGTGGCGTCTTGGAGAACGAAACGAGGATTTTTGGGCTGCAAGATTGCCCACACCAGCAGGATGAGGAGCAGCACGATAAAATTGAAGATGAGGAGACACGCACATGCACGCCGGACCTGCCTCCGCCGCCTGTCCTTGTGGTGGCTACAGTACTCTTTCCCCGTCATCTTTGAGTTGGGAGATTCGATCGGTAGGTGTAGTCTTAATTAGGATTTAGCAGAGTGTGTGTTGTGTGAGTTCATTACACACTCTCTATTACTACTATAAGGTATAGAAGAAATAAGGGACCTCTCCCCCCCTCTTTGTGTGTGTCTATATATATATATGAACATGGGTACCAAAAGAAAGAAGGCCAACCCATGTAAAGTTTTTTTCTTTTCTTTATTTTTAAGTCAAATGTACGTAAATTGATTTATCATGGTATTAGTGTTGTAGTACAATTTTACGGGGAAAAAAAGAAAGAAATAATAGCACTACTATTGAAAGTTTACAAGAAAATACTTGTCCAAGTGAAAAAAATATCAGGTGGGAGGATGTATATATATTAATTGCTCATTTTTCTGTCAAAATGTTTTTTTGGGGCTGCTGTAATTTTGATTTGAATAGATCTGCCTCATTTCTCAAGATTTGAGTCCCGCAATTCTCAATGACTCGGTTGAAAATACAAATAATATATTAATAACGGATTTGTTTCTAAGTCAAGTGGTGTCAGCTCCTTCTTGTATTTGGGTTAAATTTTCCATACGTGTGTGACTCTAATATTTACTTCTTACTTCAAGTGATAAGGACCTTTTCCCAACCATAGAGGTTAATTTAGGTATGGGTACGTGTAGGGTTTGAAATGGAGCAATTTATAACTTCAGATATGATCCGATTCAAATTCTATTTTAACATGTTTATATTTTAGTTTTGAATCTAATTTTTAAAAGTGGTCGTATATAAATTTTCGGTGGATCCCTTCACAAATTTTGGTCCAGTGTGGATTTGAAAATTTCTTCAAGTGAATTGAGTTTTACACAAGATCCAATCTAAAGCAAATATATTTTATACTATTTGGATTATATTTATTATATGGGTCATATATTGATCATGCTCGCATGATCCAATTTGAGTTCGAATCTATATTAAAATATGAATATGCATTTGAAATCGTTCCATAATTTCGAGCCTAATTGGGTGTGTGGGGGAAACGTTGCAAATGAACAAAGTTTAGTTTGTCAAAGCGAGAAGGGTGTTCAGGCTCTTTTGGCGAGCTTAGCTTGGTTCGTAAGGAAATTTATTTTGTCATTGTTGGAGCTTAAACTTTTTGATGTCGAAAAGTGTATTAATGTGAGTGGCTGTGGTGACCATCCGATGGAAATTGGCATCAGTGGACAAGATTCACTCTGAAAACACGTTTTGGGTCCCACAATCATGATAGAGAAGCTTCACAGCTCAGCCAAACCGACTTTATACCCCAACATGCTTTTTGGCACTAACGATAGAAGAAGAATCATCAAACCCCACATATGGATGATGAAATAAAGTGATGATACATATTTATTTATTTTGATTAATTAAGTTAAAGCGATTAAAATTGACATTTATGTGTCTATTAAAACAAAAATAAAGAGTGCATAATTTGCAAAAATAAAAAAAATAAAATAAAATCATACAATGTTATTTATGAAAATTTGACACTTTAAAATTATGAATAAAAAGTGCTTAGACTAATTGATCAGGTCCTATTGTTTGTGATAAGGAAGCCTAATCCTAATTTTTGGCCCAAAAAACACACGTAAGAGAGATGATTTGAAATGTGATTTATCCTGCATAAAAAATTAAAAAGTGATAGATCATGACAAAAAAAAAAAAAAAGAAGCCTTTTCTAACCACACTCTCTCTTATATTCTAGATGTTCCACGTACCATTGCTCTAACCTATCTCTCTCTCTCTCTCTCTCTCTCTGTATTTACACTTTCATTTTATAGGTAAGAAGAACACACAACCACGTGGCCTTCTGTTTAACGTCAATGTGTAACAAACATAAATAATAAGTTGTTGTTTTGGAAAATTAAATCTGAGGTGAAAAGTCTTTAAAAAAATGAATGACTGACTAGAAGAAGGTTGAAGCATTTTAAAGCTATCTGATGATGCATCAAAGTGGAAAGTTCCATGATTCGGAAGTCACAACTTTATTTGCCATTACTTTTCAAAAAAAAAAAAAAAACTTTATTTGGCATGTAAGCAAATCTAATTCGTAATTAAATTGCTTCTTTTGAAATATTAGTCAGAAAATTAAATTAATTCACAACACCAAGCATACAATAGTAGAATTTTTTTTTTTTTTTTTTTTGTCAGGTACACAACTAATATAAATAAAAACAGGCTGAACATTTTAGGCGTGGCCCATCTCATTTGGTGCTGATGATTATTTAATACAAAATTAATAATAATAACAACTTAAATGAAATAGAGATTAACGCAACAAATTCAAAGTTACATAAATTCAAAATTAATAAATTTACTTATATTTTGAATTGTAATTGATCAGAACCATATAATAATTTTTTTATACAAAATTATTATAAATTCTCGTAGTTTATGGCAAACACTTTTTCTTATATGAAGCCTTTTTTATTTTATTTATTTGTGCAAGTTTTGAGTAGTTGGGTTTGTGCAAAGAGGTGGATGTTGTTGAAATGAATTGAGTGTGTGTTAGAAATAAAAAGGAGTAATGGTTGGATAAGCATCTATCAGTATTACAAGGCCAGGAAATATGTTCTTCATATATTCCTCCTCATGTGCTGTTGTATATATTGGCATTAATGGTTGTTTTGTCCTAATCGCCGCCATACCAAAACCCTTCACTCTTGAGCTGATGATGTGATTCTTATCCTCATACTGTATTTGTACCCATAAAGTCACTACAACATCATCCTTCAAGTTTGAACCACCAAATTTTCCTTTCGTTTCACGCTTCAAATTCTCATTTGTCCTCTAATTATCAACCCTAAAATTAGAGATGCCTAATCCATACTCTCAACCATGTTTCTTACTCTCACCACGCGCTTTAATGCTATTAAACATTTTTTATACATATATATTTGAAATATTACTGCTCTATGTCCCAAACTAAATATATATTTTTTTTTTAGAAAGTGTGACTCACAATTTTTGTTAGTATTATCTTTGAAGTTATCCTCAGTGGCTGGAGATAAAATTCCAAAAGTGGATGGAAATGGAATAAACTTGAAGGTGAGGAGGGAAAGGTGGGAAGTCCTCAAAAAGCCAGCAGAAGCTCCAAGATATATAAAGTAAGTGGAGAAAAGGAATCAGTGGGAAGTGGGAATCAAAAAAACATATTAATCCCTAAAACAAATTATACCCTGATTATTAAACTTCTCAAGTCAATCATGGTTACGAGGGCTTTTTCAACCTTTTATAGACATACCTACTCGGACACCCACTAATACCATGACGCCACTTTCATCCTCGATTAAGTTATTACCAGTAACTTTAAAAGTTAACTATTGTAGGTGTGTGATGACAAAGACATCTAAGCTATCAAAGATAGACTTCCCAATGACCTAGCTTTCAAATTAATGCGTGCATGTATCATGAGATCTTAATTTGCCGGGGGCCCATTGAAGGGATGTGCACCTATGAGAAATATATATATATATATATAAACAGGGGACTGGTCTCCTCCCTTGAACTCTTCCTACTTACTAATAATAATTAGTCATTTCCACAAGCTGAGTAGAGTAAATAAATAAATACAATGGTCCCTTCCTCCCTCTCTAGTCTCTACTCTCCACCTCAGGAATAATACATACATTTACATACAGTGGTCGGTCCCTCCTCTTCTTGTTCCCTGCCCAGGAATAGGAATATTATACCAACTCTCCAAACCCTACACAGTAAAAAAGCTTAAATACCAGCCCAAACTTCAACCATAGACTCCCTGCAAGCTCATAACACAAACAATATATACATTGGCAATGAAGTTTTACTTACTGCAAGCTCTATTATGAAGGAGCTTAAATTCAATACTCACTTCTGATGCAGGAAACAAACAAACAGTCCAGTTAAATAAATATTGTTAGATCTGAAATTTCCAAAATTATCAAACTTCAATCACACCCAAAACACACACTTAAATTGTATGTCCGTCTTTATATGCATGCTAAATCTTTTGTCGGTAACTAAAACAAATGTCAAATAAATTAAAATCATCCCGATGATTCATAATGTAACAACACCTACATTACTCCAACCAAATGCAACCCAGATACTCCCTTTGCAAATGAAGGTAAATCATCAGTCTTTTGCGTGCCAATAAAAATCTTCGAAACCCCTCCCTGTAACCAACCATTCTATGCAAAAATATAGACCGTGTGCCCAACAAAAATGGCCAGCTTAGTAGATGGTTCCATACATCCATCACAACAAGTTCATATTAACTTAAAACCAACAAATTAAATACAAATTCTGGATATACAATGCTTTGCAGACTGAAATACTACTGCATGCTCCAAGCATCAAATTTTGACAAATGCAATAATCCTCCCATTTTAATAGAATGCAGTAAATACATATCTCAAAATGTTAATTATAAGATATTTCCGTGAACTAATATCTAACACCACAAAATTTCCAGAATATATTTCTGATTGGACCAGCACAAAATCAAACATAAGCCTAGATATCCAGATCCTCAGTCTGATTCACATATAACAGAAAATTCCCATACACATGATTAACGCAAAACACTACCTACGACGACAAAATTGGCATGCAAGTTGATTACCTTTGAGACTATAATATGTTACATAAACTACATTAATTTACTTAGTTTGACATCTTCAAACCTGTATAATCAGCTGTTCTTCTTCCTACAAAAATATTTTGCCTAGTGCAATTATCAAGCATAGAGACGGCTATTCCATCAATCACAAAAACTCTCATTTCACTATTGTTTCATAAATGATACACAGGTGTTCCATAATATTTGTATTCAATAAAAAATTTCCTCATCAATAGTGTTTTTCTCTCTGTTTCCTTTTCTATTCATTTTCATCTATGGTTGCATGAGATAATTGATGTTGTCAATAAGAGCAAATCTAAGTACATGATTAACAAAATAATTTTATCCCATGGTATATCGCTTTTCTTTCTTCTTCAACAAGAATAAAGCCAGCAGGTTTTCAGACTAGTAGATGCACAGTGAAATGGTTCTGTATAATTATAAGAGAATCACTATCTTAGTCATTTAATAGCAGCTAAAACACAATAAATCCAACTTGAAGTTACCTTACAAACAAATTA